AATATTAACGTAGAAATCTTTAATAAGTACGACGTCCTTTAGTTCTAGATTAAAAGTAGGCTTATTAAATTAATCTAAGATATACTTCTCGATAATCTTACGACCCGTATTAGTAATAGGAAAGCTCGTAGTACTAGCTTCGACCGTTTATCCGTCTCTATCGGGAACGAACGATCCCTTTATTAAAAGGTTACGATTATTAATAAGGTAGATAGTTCTATAGTTATCGAAGACGGTACTTTTCAATAGTAGGTATTAAATTAGATCCATTATAAAGTAGATCCTAATTTAAGTAGATAGGTATATAATACGTAAGTCGATAATTATTAAGCTAATATTAATTAGCTAGGTAGTAGCGTTATTTCCTCCTCCGTTCCCGGAGCGATTATTAAGTATATTATTTACGGGAACGTCCTATTCCTAACGGTTAATTTAATTTCGGAGCTTAGCGTACTTAGGTAAGTCGTATCTAGCTTTAAATTTTCGTATAATATTAACCAGAATCGGCTTTAAGTTACGTATAGTTTAATTAGTAACGGACTTCTAAAAGATTTTATAAGAGCGAGCTACCTATATATATAATTTACCTCTAGACTTATAAGAGTATTCGTAGCTCGTTACTTTTCCTTAGCTATTATTATTACTTAATTTCGCTCTTAAAGTCGGACCTTAATAGGCTATTACGAAAATTCTATAGCCTAATTTACCTTTTTACTTATTCTCGGTAACGAAAGCGTTAAATACGATACCTAATTACTTAAGGATCTTTAGTTACTCGCCGAGTTTATTAGCTTCCGTAAGAACGATTAATACTCGTATAGTTTAGTCGATTACGATCTTAGCCCTAACTACTTCGAGGAAATCCTTTACTCTTATAAAGTCCTTAATTTCGTTAATATAATAAGCGCGAGTACGAAGGAAGGTATGTTATTACGTAATATAGAATTACTCGGGATTATAGGTACCTGCCTTTATTTTTTAGAATACCTAACGGTATTCTCGCCTAACGAACGTCTTAATAGCGGCTTCGGTAGAAGTAATTTACTTACGGAAGATCTTTATGAGGTTTTAAATAATCGGGTTAAGGTTTAGGAATTATATCTTTATATTAGCTACCTTAAGAAAGCCTATAGAAATAGATGCGAGAATCTAGCTATAGAGAACCCTATATTACTTACTAGTAGCTATAACCTAAGCCTCGATCGTTATTTATTAGGAAACGAATTTATTATACGTAGCCGTTTATTACCTTCGAATTCGTACCTTAGGCCTTAGTAATTAATTTCTTCGGTTTTTAGTTAGGATCGATACCTATTCGTAAACCGCTTTCTTATAGTTTTCTTTAAGGACTTCGTTTTCTTAAGTAATATATTCCTTAAGAGTACTTACTACGACTCGAGTAGCGTTAAACTTAGCTACATTTAGATTAACGTCCTTTTAGAGACCGAATTAAATAGCTATCGATTTAAGCGTAATGAATTAACGTAGCTACTTATCGTAAGCTCGTAGGTAAACGTTAATAAGAATCTTATCTAAGGAGAATTCGGACGTATTAATCGTTATAGCAAATAAGTAAGCGATTATTTAATATTAGATACAAAAGTAAAGTACCGATATAGAAATAAGAAGAAAATATAATCGTAAGATCTAAGAAATAAATAAATATATATTACTTACTTATATTAGAATAACCTAAGTAATAATAGCTCCTTAAAAGTACCCGGGGCTTATAATTATTACGTAGCTAGCGAGAGCTACGTATAGGTTCATAGGTTACGCGTAAAGGAAGTAATGAAATGCGGGTAAAAAGGTATATATTAACGAACTAGAAAAGAAGGAAAGCTACTAAAGAGTATAGAGTAATCTATAGGTATATATAGTTATACTTAACCAGCTTAGGTAAGCTAGGTGGTTTCTACTAGGGGTGTATGCCTACGTGACAAAGATATTATCTATGTAATTCCTAACGACCGTACGTTTAAAACCATATACGTTAAAATTCGTACTTTAAAACCTGGCAATAACTTACCCTAAGGTAATCGATCTATAATCGGGAATTAATTAACTCTCCGAAGGTACGCCTCGACCTATAACCGTTACTAATTAACGGACGGTTTACGTATATAACGAATTATTAATAAGGTATACGTTTCTAATACTCGTCTTCTAATTACGGGTAGCTTAATTAAGAGCTCGCGGCGTTAATTAACGCCCTTAGCTCTCTTTACCCCCTCAGACTACTTTCGATCGCGGAGGGAAGAGCCTAAAAACGAACGGGAAGGCCGAAAATATTATCGGCGAGTCGGAACTTTTACCGTATAGCAGGAGACTACTAGGGCGGCGGAGAGAACGAGAGCCAATTACTCCTTAGAGCTCTCTCCAGAGATAAGACCGATCCCCTATTATCGATCTTACTCCTCTACGAGCTATCTTCCCCTAAGTCTCCGTTCTCTGACGTCGGATCAACCCTCTTTAAAAATGGAACGAGCTAAAACCCGTAGCTAATTAGTCAGGGGGCGATATCGAAACGGGCTACTTATTAAAGCGTATTACTTACTAGAGCGACTATTATTCCGCTCGCCGAAACGTAAAGCCGTCGGAGAAAAGGAGAAGAAAGAGAAACCTGAGAGATTTCCTAGCAGCCTCCCGCCGTCTGCCTTACTACCCGATTAAGTCGAGCTCTAAGGCGAGCGAGGAAGGCCTCGAGAGCCAGGAGAAAGGAACGAAGCTTGAAGAAAATGTCGAAGAGCTCGCGCGCGTCCTGCGGCTCCAAGAGGTCCTTGAAGCGTTAACTAGGCTTATAATTATTACGTAGCTCAGTAAAGGAGCTACGTACGCGAAAACGCGCATAAAGAGTTATTTTACGAGTAACAGGAGGAGGAGTAAAAGGTAAAAAGGTATTAGATCTATCTAAGAACGAGTTAAAAGAACAAAAGCAACGGGAGCGTATATATAGGAGCTTCTGTTATTGAGGTAAGTAACGAAGAGGTGCAACCTCTACGTGACAATATTAGATTTTCTAACGTAAATATTTCATTAATATTATCGTCGTCGATACCTAGGTTTTATAAGTTACGGGCTAACTCGGCTCTTTCTTCTTCGAGGCTTTTTATTTATTCGGGGCTTCTAAAGTTTTCTTTAAGTAGTTTATCTTCCTCAAGAGGAAATGAATTACTTAAAGAATTATTATTTATTAGAGTTTGTAATTATTCTTTACTTGCCAGAGGGTGCTTATCTAGTTATTCGTTTCCTTAAGAAACGTCGTTTATTTCCTTTGATAGTTAATTCTGAGATTAAGGAATTATTAAAGTATTATAACCGTACTATGTTTATTAATATTATTAGATAATAATAATACTTATTTTAATATATTAAGGAATTAGTTATAATTATATAACTTATACTTTACTTAAATTTTAATCCCGCAGTTTTGGATACTTATTAAAAGTAAACTATATATTTTAAATCAATAACTAAAGAATTAGAAGAATAGTTATAAAAAAGGAAAGAAGATATTCGTTAGTCTTATATAAACTTTTAAGGTTAGATAATTTAAGTTCCTTTATTTACGGCCGCCTTTCTTTTAATAAGCGCTTAACGCCTTAGCGAGCGCCCGGCGCTTACGAGAAAAGCGGCGCCCGTGTAATAGGAAATAGAATAACTTTTTTCTACTTAGTACTTCCGTACCTTCCCTTCTTATATCTTCTGACCTGTATCTGTTAGTACCCTTCTTAACTATAGTTTCTAGTAGAAATCTATTAAGAAAACGTAGGTGAATTTTTTTATAATATAAGAGTTCGAATATGGAAAGGAGCGTTACCGGATATTTATTTAGTAAAGCTACGAGAAGAATTCGCATTCGCGAATAATAATATAAAGCGATACGGCGAGAGCCGTTATATATATAGTATATATAGTTAATATACTTAATTAAAAGCTACAATATATCCTTTTTATTAAAGTAACTAAGAAGAGTTATTATAATAATTAAATAAGAGAATATGTTACGTAGTAATTAAACTAGCCTATATAAGCCTATATACCGCAAAGCGTAAATGTAGGCGTCTACGTTTTACACGACAGAATATTATAAGTAGTTTAAAGTAAGATATAAAGAATAAAAAAAGTAATAAATATATTACTTAAGAAAAGTTAAAAACGCGAGCGATGCTAAAGCTAACACTTAGCTTTACTATTAAAAAGGCGGTGGAATTAACTATTACGAGCTCTGTAGTTAAATTATTATTATTATTTAGCTAAGCTCGCTTTCATAAGCTTAACTAAGGGGTATATTACGTAAAGAACTACTTATATATAGTTCTTTACTTCTTCTTTAGTTACTCGCTTACTTAACCTAGCTCTTAACTTACTTATATAACGTAATTCGTAGCTCTTTATCAAATATATATAGGTAGCTCGTATTTTCTTTATTTTTTTCTTCTTTCTTAAATAGTTAACTAATTTACTTTCTTTTTCCCATATTCCGTTACTCCTAAAAGCAACCTTATTACCTACGTAGCTTATCTCATCTACGTATTATTAATATATATTTTTAAACATACTAAATATATATCAATTTACTAAGTAAAAAGTAAAATCCAACTACTAATTAAATAGCTTATTTATATTAACTGCATTTAAGTAAATATTAGCTTATACTTTAAGGTGCCATTAATAATCAATCAGGCAATTAATAGGGTGGCGGGGATCCACAGGATACAGTTCGGCATAAAAGTGAGATTTTCGCTTAATCCAGTTAAAGGTTGGGGTGCAGGGGATTAGTTGAGCTTATCTGCGACTCTCATTAAAAACCGACCGGTAATGTTTATCTCCTCTCCGTCACTTGCCTACAATCGCTCCAAAACGAATCATACCCGAAGCGCCATCGCCCATATAGGCGCCATCTGATTCAAAGCCATGCGCTGATTTGCGTACCGGTTGGCACACGCTCCTTCGGTCATTGTGGTTATTTCAACTGCTCTGACGCAGAGATTATTACAATGACTTCGCACGATGTCCACGACGTGCTTAACTTACCACTCAACAATACTGGCCCGCGACCAGCCAAGAAACCAAAAAACACCGTCCAGCGACCAAGTTTGAAGGGCCTGGCGAGGGAGGTCCAGAGTTTGGGGGGTGACAATCCTATCGCTATTGTCCCCGAAATTTCCAACTTCAAGAGGCGTCGGTTTGGCAGTAGGAAGCCAGCCGCACGGTGGGAGTGGCGGACATTCTACAACTCGGCGCGGTACGATCAGTCGCTGAGTCTGCGGCATTGGAGGCGGCAGACGGAAGAGCAGTCGACAGCTCGGGAAAGGCAAGATACAGCGACTGGGACCATCGTGAATAATAAGCAGAAACAGCTGGACGATTCCGGGTTTGCCAAGTTCAACGTGCAGGTCGATATTCCTCAGTATAGCGATGACCAATACTACTCAAACTTGACAAGTCGCGAATGGACGAAGGATGAAACCGACTACCTATTTGACCTCGCTCGGGACTTTGATCTTCGATGGCCGCTGATATGGGACCGATATGAATATGAGCCTAAGCTACCCGACAACCTGGCGAATGGAGACAGATCAAGTGGCACGGAACCTAATACCGCTATGGTGTCGGCATCAAAGGTCCGGACTATGGAAGACCTTAAGGCGCGCTATTACGAGGTGGCAGCTAAGATGATGGCGGTTCAAAAACCCGTTCAATATATGACCCAAGCCGAATTTGCCTTGCATGAAGTTATGGCCAACTTCAACCCAATCTCCGAGGCACATCGCAAAAAGTTCGCAGCAGACGCCTTGACGCGATCGAGAGATGAGGCTCACGAGGAGGAGTTGCTGCTTGTCGAAGTTCGGCGCATCGTTGCCCGACAGGAGAAATTTAACCAGGAGCGCCGCGAGCTCTACAACCGCCTCGAATATCCCCACACCGAGCAGGATATCAACGCTTTCAAATCTAGTGCCGGCCTCCAGACCCTGCTTCAAAACCTAATGAACGTCGACAAGTCTAAGAAGCGGAAATCCCTCTTGGAAGCCAACGGGAGCAACACCCCGACGTCCGCCCATCCTTCGAACAATCTCTCAGGCCACGGAAACCCTACGCCCACCACAGAAACCCGCAGGGAGAGCATTGCTGCTTCCTCCACAGGGCACCGTGACTCGATGGGAGGAACTGACCGACCAGAACGGCCGGCTAAGAAAGGTGCTCAACCCGAACGGAGGAAGCTTGGCGAGCAGGAAGAGAGGTTATACGGTGTATCGCACCATGATCGTCTACCTTCGGGGCCGACCTTCCGTTACGAACGAATCAACAAGATTCTCACCACGAAAAGTCATGCTCAACACCAACGTATCACGAACACCCTCGCCGAACTAGATATCCCGAGCAGACTCAACATGCCCACGAGAGCAGTAGTAGAGGAGATGGAGAGGCTTCTCAATTCCATCGGTATCCTCCTTGACATGCGTAAGATGAATGACAAGATCGACGCCGAAATCAGATTGGAGAAAGCTAAGAAGGTAGAGCGAGAGAAGGCCCTCGCACCCGCACAACTCGAGGCCGCGGTTAAGACAAGCGATGTAGAAGCAGTTAACGATGGCCAGGCGAAGGTCAGAAGTGTTGTCAATGAGGACGTTAGTAGCGCAGACAGGGACTCCCTGTATACCGCCCCTGCCGTGGCTGTGAAGCCCAACGGTGACGCGGCCTCCTTTACGAACAACATGACCGACTACCAAGCAGAAGGCAAGAGCACACTGGCAGCAGACAGTGTCGAGACCGCTACTGGGCCGGTTAGACAGGGCCCTGCAGAGGATCATAGGGGCGGGCAACTAGGGGGCGGTGGACACAAGAGGAGCGCCAGCGAGCTGAGCAGTGCTAGTGATAGAGGCATGAAAAGGCAGAAGAAATAGAAGGACAGATATATGCTTTTTGTTCTAGCTAACAGTGATTGTCTGTGGTGTGGGCAAAATAACGGGTGACATGGAATCAGGGAGGAACTAACACAATAGAACTGTTTTCTTCATCAAGAACGAGGAGTAGGTGTGGCTGTGGGAATGGGAAATAGCTTTGGGTCGGGTAGAGAGGAAAGGAGACGAATCTGATGCCACTACTTACTGGTGATCGGTGGATAATTATACTTGGTATACACCCCTTTTGGTTGGTACCGCTCCTTTTCATACGACTTTCTCTTACAAGTAACGATGCCACTCATTGAGACACGATTGACTTCCAGACATTCTCCTCGCTCACCTCTTCTGTTCCTATGTGTTGACTTCCTTTTACCTGTTACCTGAAACCTGTCACCTACCTGAGTATTTAACCACATTATGAGAAGCTGTGCTATAATAGCTACCCCCCTCGCTCTTAATCATCCTGCACGCCGATTACTCGGTCTTATGTATGATATCGCTGCATCGCATCTGCCTTGTGTACATACAACTAAGCCAGCCGCCACTTCAGTACTCCCCCCTACCATGTACGGATGGAGGTGAAACCCGTCTCTCTCCCTGCTCCAAAAGTCTGTCCCAGGCCACAGTCACTGCTGGTAGGCATGTATGGAGCCTGTGTTTGCCCACCTTGCCTCGCTAGCTGTTACAGCCAAACCAAGGGTAGAGATATGCTAAAGTTGAAATCCGCCTTATAATCTACACTACTGGCCCCTAAAACCACACAGTGTGAGAGCACTTCTGTACATGTACAACTGACCGGGCCTACCTGGGATGGTGGCGCAGTGGCAGAGTGGTCTAATGCGCGAGACTAGAAATCTCGTTCCTTCGGGAGCGTCTGTTCGAATCAGGCCTGCGTCGGCTTCTTTTTTTCTTTTCTCCACTCTTTGACGTTTTTTCACTCCACCAACCCTCACCTTGTTTCCTTTGTTGCGCGTAAGCGCTCTGTAGATAAGGCACCAACTGACTCGGGGCCTGGGAGACAAGTAGCCCTGTAAACGGGCTGCTGAGATCGGGGGGAACAGGGGGAAAGGGGAAAGGGGAAACCCGGGGAAACACCCCCCTCCCCCTCCCCCCACGAAACAAGGAACGGGGAAACGAAGTGGGAATTGCCCTCACAGGGGAAAGGGAGGACACAGAACGGACCGCGTAATGCGAAACGAAGAATAGAGATGCTAGATAGGGTGTTAAAAGGCTGTAAATAGCGTAGCCTAGAACTCCTCCAGTATAGGAGGTCACAGGATAGCCTCAGCAGGCAATTCCTACGGACGTTAATAATCACCACCACCACCACCACCACCACTACTACTACTACTACTACTAGGTACATGCCTATCTTCCACTGTAATATGAAACTACCCAACGACTCTATAAATCTCAATATGAATATTGGCACGTAAATTCAGAAAAATACTAACTATCAAAATACATGAAGAAACCCGGGTATCTCGTATAAAGAAATATCTCTATATCATGTCATATCCTCTTGTCATTGCCCTTCGTCTTCACATAAACTCCTGTTGCTGGGTCGGCGTAATAGTAATGGGCGGTCACGCATTCGTAAAGCCACATCCAAGCCACTTCTCTCGTCAGATGAGGATGGGTATGAATGACAAGATAGCCAGGTTCTCAGGTAGGGGAACAGAAGGGTAAAACTTGTCCCGCTAGTGCTTCCTGTCTCTCTTAAAACGTCAATAAAAGGCTTTTATGCTGGCCTCTATCCAGTATCATCGTATGACTTTCGGCGTCACCTAGGAATCGAAATCTCATAGGATACGTCCCTGTCTTTCTTGTATACCACAAACCAAGTAGGCTATATATACAATGAAGGCCGGTATAGAAGCTGATTCGCAGCAAAAGAGTGGGTAATGATATGGAATCATTCCTGAATCTTGTTGGGGCTGTCAGCTGATGGCGCCACGGGTTACTCGGGAGGGGTTGCCGGCCACGACGGTAAAGGGAGGGACATCCTAAGCTTTCATTAGTACTAAATCTCATTAAAGGCGCCCTCTGGATGATTCACCTTGGTGACTACCGACCCAGCGGCTACAGTGGCTCCCTTCCCAATCCGCATGCCTGGGAGGATAATCGCACCACCTCCGATCCATACGTCGTCGTCGACATGTATCGAGGCTCCGTGGTGGGGGCTCTTACTCCCCTTGCGTTTTTTGGGGTCGGTGTGCAATGTAGCACCAAACAAGCTGACGTTCGGGCCGATATAGCAGTTATTGCCGATGATGATTTCCATGGGATCAATAACAGTGCAATTCCGGCCGATAAACGTGTTGCTACCGATCATGATATTGTAGCCGTAGTCACAGGTAAACGGCGCTTCGACGACTACATCCTGCCCGACACTGCCAACTTTGGTGACGGGCGTTACCAGATGTGGAGCAATGTTCAGAGGCTCCTGTGGGCTCAGGATTTCTCGGAAGAGACGAGAGCGCTCCACCGTTGAAACTCCAAAATTAGGGTTTGTGGAGTTGTTAAACCTCCAGCAGGCGGCGTTACATCTTTGCCTCTCCATTACCAGTTCCTCGTCGAATGGATAATACTGATTCCCCGAGAGCATTTCCTCCTTCTGTGTTCTAGATATTTTGGCCGGGAAGTGGGAATGTGAGAGAGCAAGCCGCGCCGCTTCCTGGGGGCTGGTTGTCGCTGGAGGAGGCGGGGGCGGGTGTTGGTTAGATGGTTGCGCCGGAGGGCTGTTAGTTCGGGTTGGCGGAAGAATGTTGATCTGCGGGAGTGATGTCGTGTGCGGAGTTTCGTGTTCTGTCCGGGTTAGATCGTGTAGCGGTGGCACCCTCTGGTAATCTTTGTGTCGTTCGACGCCGCTCAATGGTGTCGGCAATTGCATCGTACTGCTTGTAGCACTTATCGGAGTGGGAAACACGTTTGCCGAGTTAGAGTATGCAATTGAGGATAACTTATTCTCGGGACTAGTGGCAGATGGGGTCTGAAGGGAGGAGGTCGTTGGGTGTCGGGGATCGTCTGTTTTGGGGACGGGCCGCCCTTGCACAGGTTCTATGCGGAGCTGCTGACCACGATAGTGAACCGGGTCTCGCTTCGGGGGTGGCGGGGGCGGTATCGGATAACTCGCCTGTTGAGGCATTCCATAAGCGCCGGGGGGGACATACGTGGGATCCTTGGACTCGAGCGGAACGGCGGCGGGTTTGTTCTCCATCTTCGGGTAACCTCGTTGGTTCGGATATCCGTGGCACACGAATCCGCCACGAACACAGTTGGTACCTGTTCCTCTGTGAGTAGAAGAGACGAAAATTACCGTAATATCAACCTGCTTACATTGCGGTTTAGTCTCGTCGCACTTCTTCTTCCTCTTTCGGCATGTTAAGCAGCTATATTTTTACGTATGGAGAGCGGATGCCGCACCCTCGGGTCTTTGAGAGCGCTTGCGCACTTGTGACACCTCAGGAAACGCGCGACCGGCCCCGCCATACTTCGAAGTTAGCAATGGAATCCTAACGATCGATCTCGAGGTTTGGCGGCATGGTAGGAGATGAACTTACCCAGTCTTTGTCCTGTTGCTGAAATTGCGCTTCCGCTTTTTCGGGTCCGACTGGATCACGGCATCACCTTTCCTTGGCCCCGTCGTGTAGGTGCCGCTGTAGATTACGGCACCGTCCTCGCCATCAGGACTCGTCACCGAGTAATCGTGCTGAGATTCCGTCGGGTGGGGAGCCGCTCTTCGGAGCGAATCGCCCGCCGGTTGGTCGGTTGGCGAGGTAACGAATCCAGTAGAGCTCTGATGGTCGTACGCGTTGCGATCGTCTATGCGTCCTTGTGGCGTATACCAAGATTCATGGTGTTCCCGACTCTCCTCGCCGAGCTGCCTATGCTCTCGCTGCGCAGTGACATATACGTCACGTGATTCCGACTGGGACTGCTGTTCTTGGTCTCGAGTGCCTGGTCCATCCCCCTGGGAATCGTGAGAAAGCGATCGTTTGCGCTTGTGGAGGCCATCGGTGCTGGGGTAGGCGTTTGGTTGATAAGGCGGTCGGTCGGTCCCGGATGCTGGCCAGCGTTCCCTCTGACTCGAAGAGTTCTCTTCGGCTCTGGGTTCCTTGGGGACTCCCTGGCGAGCCGGCCGCTCCTCTTCAGAGACCCCGGGTATGGAGGTAGGACTTCCACTAGGAATCTCGGGACCTTTCTGTTCGCCTCCATTTAGCGCCGTGAAGGTTGCCATGGTTCGACCAACGATATCTTCAGCCCAACAGCCTGGAGTTAGGTGCATAGGAGCGCTCGACACTCGGAATAAAACTGGCGAGAAAGCAGCTGTTGCGTGATCAAATCCCCGGGCCTCGATGGAATGGAATTGGCACACGGGGCTCAGAAACCTGCGAATGGAGCGCCCCTCCTACGATTGAGATTGATGAAGAACCGACCACGGGTCTCGCGACGATCAATGTGACGATTGAGCTGATGCCCAGAATTGGAAGAAAGTTGAAAAAAAATATGCCTCGATAAATAGCGAGAGAGGAGAGTAGGTACTGGGCGTTGAAAGGAGCAACCCCCCCCCCTTAAAAAGAGAGACAGAGGGAGAGGGAAGGAGAAGGGAAAAGACAGATAAAAGGGAGAGCGAAAAGGCAGGAGAATGGGAAGGAAGAGGAAGGGGGGAGCCGCCAGAAAATTAGGAACGGTCCGTATGCGATTTTGAGATTGCCGCGAAAACGTCCAAAAATTTCGTTATTCAGGTTTCTAGAAGTCGGCGCATCAAACAGGAAGCGATGTATTATTATATCCTTTATGACCAGAAGGGGAGCGGGTCTGCCTTCGTCGCGGCGCGCAGCGATGGGTGATCCGCAAGAGAACTTAGGGATCTTATTTTTCGGAAGATGACGAGCTTCGAAAACAGGTGCGCGGGGGATAATAATTTTTAGGAGGGGGGTAGAGGGAGAGGGAGAGGGTGAGGGAGAGGGAGAGCGCGTGAGGGAGCGGGAATGCGAGCCGCACGTCTCCTTCTCTCTGCGTATGGCTGCGCAATACGACCGTGACTTACAAGGGCTCAGGGGCCGGTGAGGTACAATTTGTCTTGTTCTGCTAAGCTATGTTGCGGTGTAAGCAAGAGGCTGCAACTTGCAAGCCGTGAGGCCGTAGGCTGCTGCGCCTGGGCATGCGCTTCGCCTAGACTGCGAATTGGAGCGCCGGTCCGGGGAATGGTCCTTTGTGGATGAGGAGTGGGCCGAAGAGGAATAAGAGTTAGTAGTAATAATAGCAGCAGCAGCAGCAGCAGTTGTTGTTGTTGTTGTTGTAAGCCAGTGGTATATATATGGTTGGCCAGGATGGCCACGATGCTGCGGCAAGAAACAGAGAAGAAACGAAAAACACCAGATCATTATCGTGCGGTCCGGCCCACGAGGGCGGCAACTTGACTCGTCGAGATCCAATCAAGAAATACTCTTGCTTCCCTTAATCCTACCCTTGTTTCCATCCCCCCGGCCGTGCTGGGATCCTTGACCCTTATTCAAGCGTACAAGATGGGCCGGCGCTTGGAGATTTGACGCGCGATTAATTTTGGCTGGTGCGCCTGCGAGGATGTATGATTCTTGGTTGTCTCGGCTCTCTTCTGGTCTCCAATGGTGATATACCTCAGAAGGCGGGTGAATGAATGCAGACGCCGACTGGTCCCTTCTGTCAGCTCCCTTCTGACACAGATGCAGCACCATAGGGGAATAGAAGGCATATGAGGTGGGATTAAATGACGAAGTCAAGGCAGTTTGCGATGCTGCGATCGAGTAGCAGAGCCAGCGTTAGCGGTAGAGAGAGGGGGGGTCGTCGGGATATAGGGGGGGAGGCGCGGTTGGGGAAGAGAGGGGAGAGAGGTGGGGGGGGGAGAAGACACAAGACGTGGCTCGCCCTGTAAGCACGGGCATGCGGGCAAGGAAATGTAACGTAACGAAAAGATAAGGCGTTTCTATCGAATGGTGTTAAGAACAGGTCGATTAGTTTGACAAATGATTAGACTATAATTAATATTAAAAGGAAAAGCATAAAAGAATTAGTACTTTTTTAATATATATATATATTAATAATAAAGAGCGCGTACATAATATTAAAGCTTTATATAATAAATATTAAAGTATACTCTAGTAGTTTAAAATAAATAAAAGTAATATTAATTTAATAATCTAAAGGTAAGGAATTTAATAAAGTTATCGTATCTTCAGTCTAGCTTACGGTCGTTAAATTATAATAGTCGCTAGCTTAAAGTTAAAGATAATAAATATAATAGGCTATATTTAAAAATAGAATCTTAGTTAACAAAAGAGCTTAATACGTAATTACCCTCTTCATACTCAGAAGAAGTAGAGTGTATGCAATATTAGAGTTCTATATATTTTATACTTATTACGATTTTAAAAACTATTTATTATATAAAATCTTTTCATTAACAAGGAAAGCTAAACGAGGAAAAAATTAAGAAAGAGTATACTCTATAGTTTGTACCTATAATAACTAACCTTAATTATAGACATTTTAGTAGTATAGTAAAACATGCTTTCTGTTAGAAACCATATACAGAAGAGGGAGCCAACGGGTATTATTAGAAGCAGGGAAGTACCTTAGTACGAAAAGTAGGCTTTCGTCCTAACCTATCATCTTCCTAAAGTAACAACGTAAGCAACAGGCGCTAAAGTAGGTAATGTCGTCTGTAGAAGGCGATAGCGCCTGTAAAAGGTGACGTTGTCCGTTTAAAGAATTAACGCTTTTTGTAATGGGCTACGCCTAGTCATCGAACTCTAGTTAGTATAGCACTAGGGCACGTAACCGCTCCTCCCGTATATAACTAACTCCTAAAAGCGCGGCCTTAATAAAGCATACCTTTCTTCTTTTTCTTTCTTATATAACTTTATTTCTTTAATTTTTATCCTTTTACCTAACGAATAATTCTTAAAATTATAATAAAAAGCTATACTATCTTCTTATTATAACTAAGCTATACTTATTAGTATTACTTAGTAGTAGTAATACTTATCTTAATATATTCAGAAATCGGTTATAGTTATATAACTAAAACTTTATATACTTCTTGGTCTTAAGGTTTAAAGTACGTATTAAAAGTAAACTATATATCGTAGATTGATAACTAATAAATTAAATAAAGGTTATTTAAATTAAAGGAAAAGATTTATTTTTTATATAGGTTTCGTTTATATAATAAGCGGTTATTTCGATAACAGACAACCCTCGCCCTTTAAGCGAGTAATTACTTTTAAGGCGACTATCGCCCTTTAAGCGAGTAATTACTTTTAAGGCGACTATCGCCCTTTAGGCAATCCGTCAGGGTATTAAAAGTTATCGCCTTAAGCGAGCCCTAACTTTATTAAAACCCGTTACTCGTATAATAAAAAGTAGAATAACCTTTCTTTTATTTAATATATATATACCTTCCCTTTATATATCTGTCACGAAGGAGTTGAACCAGCCTATATAAGCCTATATACCGCAAAGCGTAAATGTAGGCGTCTGCGTTTTATGTGATAGCTATAAGCCTAGTCCCCGCTTTAGGTACTTTGGCTTAGTGGCTTAGTTCCTTTAATTACGCGTATATAGGCGCGGCAAGCGCAGCCCCTTACGCGGTAAAGCCCCAGAGCTAGATTAGAACTAGTAGTAAGGCGTCGCGTTAAGAGGTTAAGGGTTTAATTCCCATATCGAGTAGTGAACAAGAGCAGCGTGGGCACGCTGACGGAGGCACGAAACAAGGACTGCCCAACTGCCAACAACTAGCCTAGTGCCGATTAACTAAGATTACAGCTGTAAATAGCTATAATCGGTTGATCGGCTAGCTGAAAACGGTAGTTGGGAAAGGGAAAGGAGACTAGAAAAGGACAACGACGATGGCTAGAAAGGCATGACAAGAAACGAGTGAATGGCTGTGATGATAGCTACAGGTCTAAGTCTAACTAATGAAAATATGAGTGCGCGACCTATATAAATAGACATCGAAAAGGCTACGTGGCCTAGATCCACCGCACCACTACAGTAGTTATTAGACCAACCTAATATAACTAACGCCGAAAAGTATACGACTAGCGCTAAGAAAGGTAGAGGGTTTAACGCTGAGAGTAAGTAATTATTACTTACCATTAAGTGACTAAACACTAGGGGGAATATTACGGAGCAGTTAAACCAGCCTATATAAGCCTACATACCGTAAACGTAAATATAGGCGTTTACGTTTTACGTAATAATATCTTATAATCTCTATAGGTTAATATCTTTCTAATCGTAATTTATAATACTATCCTCTTTTTCTTTAATTTTTATTCTAAAAGTCCGAAGGTATTATAGTGGTGCGGTAAGACATGCCCTCTTAATGCATTACGTGATATGCTACGATAGGTCTTATGCCTATATAGAGTAACTATAGCTCCCGTAAGTACGGGCTATGCTATGCTTATTATCGAGTTTACTACCTAATTAGATTACTATCTTTACTATTTTTACCTTAATTAAAGATTCGTTTTTATTATTAGATTTATCGTTTTCCGATTAGTATATTTATCTTGGTTATAAGCGCTTAAGTTACTTCGTCGTATCGCTATAGCCGAATAAGTAACTTTTACGTTTTGCTCCTTTTCTCTTCTTACCTCTTATACCTTCGGGCTAGCGACTACTATATCTCTATGACTAAGGGGTATAGCTAAAATATAATAACTACATTAGATTTCTCGTTTCTTAATTAGTATAGTAATATTAGTTTTATCCGTCTTAGATTATCGTACGAATTATAGTCTTTAATAGAATATACTTTCGAGTAAACCTATCCGGGCCTTTAGTATCGCGTACGCTCTACTCCTCCTTAGTAACGATTACCTTATAACTTTTCGACCCCTTAACCTTTAATCTACGGAGTTTCTATTACGCTATTAGGATTTAAAGGATACCGATCGCTATTAGCGCTACCATATAACCCGCGAAGTAGTCCGCGTTTTACATTAAACGGAATATCCCGCCTTATAGTTATTTATCTACTATAGGGAGGTACGTATAAGCCCGGGAACTTTTATTACGATATTACTACCGCTAAGATATTACCTAGCCCTTAAATACTAATAACGCTTTTACATTATCGATACTACGATATAATACGATAACTAAACCGCGTTTATACCGATTAGGACATTCTTCGTATGGTTATTTATTTACTATATAAAGAAACCCGTAAAACCCGGGAGAACTTTCGTTATAATATTACCGCTACTAGGGATAGTACTTAGCCCTCGATATTAACCGCTTCCTCGAACCGCTAATAATATAGTATATCTCGCGCGAGTAAAGAGCGCTTATAGCGATTAGGATAATCCCCTTACGCTCGCTTATCTATATAGAAGACGTACGAGCGCTTTAATATAAATTACAATAACTTATACGACCCGCTACTCCCTTATTAATATTAAGGACGGATAAAGGCCAATAATAACTATACCTTAGCCGACCTTACGATAGCTTCTTTTTCCCTCTAAACCTATTAATCGATATAAATTAAATATATAGATATTAATAACTTATTATATGTCACGTAGGCATGTACCCCTAATAGGAACCACCTAGCTTACCTAAGTTAGTTAAGTACTATTATATATACCTATAGATCGCTCTATACTCTCTAGTAGCTTTCCTTCTTTTCTAGTTAGT